CAGCGACATAATAAGGGCATCGAAGAGAGTTTTTAACTGTTTTTTTGAGTAACCGTATGATCTGCACATCCTCAAAATGTACATTCGACTACTAGCTCTAGTTAGCAAATTGTCAACTTGAATGTCCCAACACGACGGATCATTCTGCAATGTTATTCCCAACAGTTTCAGCCAAGATTTACGCTTAATACCCTCTATTTGGTTTGGCGGAGGATTTTTTGATTTACGACTTATAACCATTTCCCAAGTTTTACCTAAATTTAATGACATTTTGTTTCTTTCTGTCCATTCTTTAATATTGTCTACTTCAGCTATTGCGGAGTCATAATTCTTTCTCACTGGAACGCTGAGAGTCATGTCGTCTGCAAATTTGACTAGAATGTTGTTATGTGGATCTTTGACTGCCAAATCGTTCATCATCAGGGAGAATAAAAAGGGGCCAATAACTGTGCCTTGTGGTACTCCTTTATTAGTACCCACATAGTTTGTTTCGATCCCATTTAGTATTACTCTCTGTCTTCTATCTGTCAAAAAATTGACAATCCAGTTTATTACGTATGGGTTAATGGTTGTTTCTTGTAACTTTTTGCTGATAATACCATGAGAAACAGAATCAAAGGCCTTCTTTAGATCAAATGAAATAACTCTGACATGGTCGACGTCGTTATCCAGCCAGTTTAGCCATTTCTGATGGCACATTATTAGAGCATCAGTTGCACTTGTTCCTTCTTTATATGCGAATTGGTCACATTTTATTATTTGCTTTAATTCTGGTGAGATCTCTTTCTTAAGAACTATTCTTTCGAATAGTCTCATTATTACATTTGTGAGGGATATAGGCCTTAATTGAGTACATTCCGTAAGAGGACTTTCCTTAGGTACTGGGTTGAGGTTGGCGGTTTTCCATAAGAGGGGAACACATTGTTGCTCTAATGACATGTTGAATATCTTTGTTATAACTGGGGCTAAGTATTTTGCAAAGTCTTTCCATAGCCAATATGGTAGGCCATCTGGCCCTGCCGATGTTTTCTTTTGTTTTTGCAAAAACCTTTCTACCGTGAATATGTCAACATGTGGTACTCTAGTAGAATTTGGTATAGGGGCGATTTCCGGAGATGTGTAGTTGTCATCTGTATTCATCGCCTTGAAATAGCTATTTATGACATCTGGATCTATATCTATACATGTGCGGTTCGCTTTCCTTCCAGTAATTTTATTTACTGTGTCCCACCATTTCTTCGACCCGGATACATATTTTCCATTTGTCTTCTTAACTGCTCTAATGCTTGACGCAGAAAATGTCGAGTATTACCTATTGGGCGACCTAAATTGTGACCTTGGATCGCCTACTTTAGATTGCAATTCGAGATCTTTAATTGGCATCACTGAACTCTATGGTTTACATCAATTAATAAATGAACCAACTCGAATTACCGAAACTTCATCAACTATGATCGATCATATTTTTACCAATACACCAGATAATATTGTTTCCTCTGGTGTTTCTCATGTCGGTATCAGTGATCATAGCTTAATTTACGCATTCCGTAAGCTTTCTATCAGTCCACGCAACAAAGGCCATTCTACAATAAGTTATAGAAAACTTAAAAAATTTCAACTCTGAATATAGAAAACTTAAAAAAATTCTTTACAGAATTGGGACGTGATAAGGATTTATAATAATCCGAATGATATGTGGCGTATATGGAAAACGACCTTTAACAACGTAGTGGAAAAGCATGCCCCTTTACGAACTAGGCGAGTAAGATCTTCTAAGGCGCCGTGGATCACGCCTGAATTAAAAAGGCAAATGCATGAAAGAGATGTTTTGAAAATAAAAGCTATTCGATCCAAAGATATTTGTGATTGGACTGTTTTTAAGAAAGCTCGAAATTCTGTAAACAATGAAATTAAACTTGTTAAGAAAACCTATTATATGAACGCTTTTCATGAAAACGAGAATAATGTTAAAAAAACTTGGGGTATCATCAATGAATTGACCTCAAGAAAACAGATGAGTTCACGGGTAAATGAAATCAAAATAAACGGGGTTTCTATTACTGACCCCTCGGACCTATCTGAGACGTTTAATACTCATTTTGCTACTATTGGACCTAAGCTTAAGGAAAAAATACCTGACGAAGAAAACAATCGCTCGTATTTAGAATATCTTACTTGCCACAATAGTAACAATAATATAGAGTTTAAGTCAATAACCCCATCATCAGTTTATTCGCTTCTTAACAAACTTTGTAAGTCCAAAGCAATTGGGCTAGACAAAATATCTGCCAAGCTTCTTCGTCATTGTCCTGACTTGCTTTCGGAATCCCTTGCCGTAATTTTTAACTGCTCTATCATTACCGGTATCTTTCCTGAAGAATGGAAATGCTCAAAAGTCATTCCATTATTCAAACAGGGCGAGCGTAGAGACTTAAATAATTATCGCCCAATTTCGATAATACCGGTTGTGGCGAAAGTTTTCGAACGAATTATTTATGATCAAATTTACGGTTTTCTTACTGAGAACAATTTACTATGTAATAGCCAGTCTGGATTTCGACGTTTGCATTCAACTGTTACTGCACTTCTAGAATCTACTAATAGCTGGGCCTACAATATTGACCAAGGACTGGTCAATGCTGTCGTTTTCCTAGATCTTAAGAAAGCCTTTGATACAGTTGACCATGGAATTTTGTTGTCAAAACTGTCAGCATATGGTCTTGGGGGTGCTGTGGCTAACTGGTTTAGGTCTTATTTAAGTAACCGCAGTCAAAAATGTTATGTCAATGGCCATCTTTCTACCAACCGTACGTTACTTTGTGGTATTCCACAGGGAACTATTTTGGGACCATTGCTATTTTTATTGTATATAAATGACTTGCCAAATTGTCTTGAGCACTCCCAAGCACGAATGTATGCAGACGACACCAATTTAACATTTGCAAGCAATAAAATTGAAGATATAGATTATTACTTTAATCAAGATCTTGAAAATGTTAATAAATGGCTTATCGCCAATAGGCTTACATTGAATCAATCCAAAACTGAATTTATGCTAATTGGCTCACGACAAAGAATAGCTACTTTCCAATCAGACCCATGTTTTAAAATAGACGGAATTCCTATAGACAAGGTTTCACATACAAAATCTCTAGGAGTTCACCTTGATGAAAATCTATCTTGGAATATACAGATCAAGGAATTAACAAAAAAAAATTGCTTCTGGTATTGGCGCTTTAAAACTCGTTCGTTCATTTGTCCCAGTTGCAACATTGTATTTAATTTTTAATTCCCTTGTCCAGCCATATTTCAATTATTGCTGTACAGTTTGGGACAATTGCAATAAAACCTTGGCAGATAAACTTCAAAAACTACAAAATCGCGCAGCGAGAGTTTTGACCTTTTCAAGCTATGACACTAATGCCGACATCTTACTCGATAGACTTGGCTGGAAAAAGTTATCTTCCCAACGCCAATTTCAAAAGGCTGTCATGGTTTATAAATCACTCAATGGACTTGCTCCACAATACATGGGTTCCATGTTTGTAAACCGTGACAGTGTCAATCCTTATTCGTTGAGAAACACAAATAGTAAGCTGGCTGTTCCTAAGCCTCGCACAAACTATCTGAAGAATAGTTTTAGTTATAGTGGTGCGATGCTATGGAACAGCCTACCGATTGGGCTACGGCTAGCAAATAACCTATCAAATTTTAAAGCGGGCTGTTCCAAATTATTTTAATCTACATTCACATTTGTATTATATTATATTTCTTGTATACATTCCTTACACGGCTCTCATGAAAAGCAGGTATATTAATTATTAGTTTGATTTATCATTGTAAATATTTTTGTAGTCTTATTTTGTAATTCATAATCTTGTCATTTGTCAGCATGAAAATCCTGATTGAGAATACCGTGTGTAAATAAAGTTTAATAATAAGTTTAATAATAATAATAATAATAATCATGTTTTCTCTGATGAGCTTATTTATTTTCCTTTGTAAGTCCTCGTTTATTCCTTTCTTTGCGCTTTTATTGCGCATATTGCATAAATGTTTTACCAGAGGAGACATATAAGGAGGATCACGTGTAGATAATTTTACTTTGATTAATGGGAAGCTTTTGTTGAAGGCCGAAGTAATAATATGATTTAGAAGTACAACTGATTCGTTCAAATCTCTACACTCTTCAATGCAGTTCCAGTTCTGTGCTTCCAACTCTCTCATCATAGCAGATTTTCGGTGGTCTCTTGCATCTCTAAAGTAAACTGATTTTCTCTCTGGTTTAATTGCTTCTCGCGGAGTTGTTATAATGATCAAATGGTCAGATTTTACCAGACTATCGAGGACCTTAGGATTTTTCCATAAATGTGGACAATTAGTTAGAAAAATGTCAAGTACCTTGTGACCTCTTGTAGGTTTTTTTACCATTTGTTCCATATTATGTTGACTTATGATGTCCTTTATCTTTAGTTGATTTATATCTCCTCCAATTATAATTCGGGCATTTGATTCACACTGGAGGATTTTCTCAATACTCTCTGATATATGATTCAGTAATTCGTTTTCTTCATATGTCGGATCCGGGGGGTGGTACACGGCTGCAACATAGTATTTGCTATTTGTCGTCTCAATGTCGCACCAAATGCATTCCAAATTATTTCGGAAATTTAGAGGCTTACACTTCCAATCTTTCCGATAAATTATAGCAACACCTCCTCCATTTCGGCCATCACAGCGATCTTTTCTGATGATTGAATAATTATTTGGGCATATTAGGTGTGATGGTATCTTGTCGTGTAACCATGTTTCGCACAAAAAACAAATATCGATTTCCCGATATTTGTTTTGTGTGCGAAACTATTGAAATTTTTGTGTGGACATTTATGTGTGGACATTTATTGAAATTTTTGTGTGGACATTTATGACGGATTATTATCTAATGATGCGTTATTATACGAACAAAAATTTGATATTATTTCTGAATTATATTTTATAAGGTGGATGCCAAAATGTTTCATGTCGTCACGGCTACTGTTTGAATATTAATGGTACTGATAAATGTCACTGTGATAATGGCACAAAATACGATGGAGAGTCTTGCACAGGTATTTACTAAATTATTGTCAATTACAATTGCAGGGTAGCAGAATTTTTTGTAGTGAAAGACTTCAGAAGAGAAGTTTAATTTATTTATTCATATGTTAAGCCGGTTTTGTTTATTCTTTTCGTAGATTTAGCCAGGCAAATTTGTAAACCGTAGAACCATTTTGTTGAACACATTAAAATCCATGAAGGAATTTCGAAATGAAATGTATTTAATTTCGTATAACTGCGAATTCACATTTTGCTTGATTTTTGTAATCTACAGCTTTGAATTTCCCGGCGAAGTTTGACAATATTGCTAAGCTTAACTCCTAAACAATGTTTTATCAATATATTCGTTTTATAAGCACAATAAAATATTCGCCACCGTGTTTCATAAAAGATAAAAACACTTGTCTTCCGCGCGTGTTTAAATCTAATACAACACGTCGGCCCCGCTTTCAGCTCGAGTTTGCATTTACTGACACAACAAGGCCTCGGCTTTGGCTTGTGTTTATATCTGCTAATACAACACGGCCTCACACTCAGCTCGCGTTTGCATTTACCGATACAACAAGGCCTCGGCTTTAGCTTGTGTTTTTATCTATTAACGCAACACGGCCGCTTATCAGTGTTTATAATACATAGTCAATTATATAGAGTTTAAGCAACACAGCTTACTGTAATATCATGCACGATTTCATTAATTTGACACTGCAAGATCTACTTTTCAATACATAACCAACCAATCAGATATATAACAGCATAACTATATGCCTACAAGGCAGCATCTTCTGACTCTCTAAGCACAACACATAAATTAAAACAGCTTTTTCTTAAAGGCGTCGTTGACACATGAATATATACATACAGTGTGAGATTTACATGCAAAGTGGTCATACCGGATAAAACTGGCCCTACCCGCTAATCAAACGGGTAAATCCAGTCTGACATTGGTCTGCTGCATGCCATTATCTTTTATTACATAAGCAAAATGACTGAACACTCTAAATCTCCAAGTGTTGTACAAACACCAAAAAAGGTGTAAATTCCTGCCTCCCTGCAAACACCCAAAGAGGTGCAAATATACACCTTCTTAAAGGTCAATATACACTCAACCGGGTATATTTACACCAATTTTGGTGTAAATGCTCTTGCCTCTGTATGTACACCGAATAGTGTATAGTTACACTGTAAGGAGTATATTTACACTTTACAGTATCAATATACACCATCAGTGTATTTATACACCAAGTTGGGGGGAACACTATAAGTGTATATTTACCCCGAAAAGTGTATATTTATACTTTATGGGGTCAATATACACCATAAGGTGTATTTGATAACCACTGCATTCACTGATGTAATGATCGTTACATGATGAACAGACGTGAACTTCTATATTGAACAAACAATTTTATTAAAGATAAATAAATTATGTATTTGTTTAAAAACCTATGAGCACAATAAGCAGGAACATAATAAAGCATAAAAAATTACAAAATTGAATGGACAAATATGCCCTCTAACCTACTTATACATTTCTTTCATTTCTAGCAATGAAATTAAGTTATTAGTAGGCTTTGAAATATCACATAGGCAAAATTATACATTATTCTTATTCCTTATCAGTCCAAAATATTAAAACTATTTACTTAGTGCCCATATGAATGAATGAATAAATTCTAAATATTTACATGTAGAAATAGTTCAAAGTACTGCTAGGTTTGTGCATACCTTGCTCAAAAAAACAAGTATTTCAAGGACTTAATTAAAAGTTGCCAATTGGCAAGTTTAGGAAACTAGCTGAAACAACTCAAATTATTGAAATTAAGCCCCTGTATAATGAACCCAGAGGTAATTGAATAAAAATATTTATGAAAGAAGACAAGTGCATCTAGAACTATGCAAACTCACTGCATGTCTTCAATTATTGTTATTAACACATAAGCTAAAGTAATTAACTCCTGAGCAATGTTCCTCTTTGATTACTGACTAGTTGTTTGTAAAGTTGGTATACGTCCTCCCAAATATGAGCATATTTATAAGATCACCTGGAGTATTTTTGTCCTGGAAAATTAAGTTCTGCAACACTGTGAATCCAATTAACCATTAACAGAGGAGACTTTCCACTCATCCACTGAGTTTCTCGCACACTAGTACTACCTCAATTAATCCATGTTCCTAAAAAAAACAAAAAAGCAAGCATATTAGAAAATTTAGATAGCAAAATGTTCATCTGGTAAGCTGTCAATGATTTTTGATATATCTATTACATGATAACTAACTATATAACCAATTGTTTATAAATAAGAAGCAAATAATGGAGGTGAAATTAATACACAATGAATTTGCAATTTGTATGACACATGAACATTGAACTGATCTTTTCCTTACCTTATTTCCTTAAACCAAGTCAAATGCCTTCTTTTCTTGTTTCACTGAACTAATATCAAGTTGATATTTTTCATCAAATGAAAGACCTTGGCACCTTAAAAATACAAATACAACACAGGTATTTTAGGCATATATCATATTGGTGCTATTATTATATTATTATACAATTAAAACTGAGCCATATGGTTGGTGAATAATCCAACAGCATTGCACAATTCCTTATAATGCATTACTTACCATACTTTCCTGTCGTTCATTACAGACTTAGATGACTTAGACTTATAAACATCACCACTTGGCACTTGTTAATCCACCATCTAAGGATGCATATAAAAATTATTTAAAAGGCAATATAACAGCTATGTCATTCAAATTCTTAATCAAAATTAATGTAGATCCTAAGATTCCGTACATCATAATCCTAAGATTGAGTAAGTCTGTTATGGCAGATGTTTCAGTTTCATGTTCATATTTTAATATATAACATAAATTCATGTATTTGACCATGGTTTAGCCAACATCATTACATCAATATCACACTTAATATGGCATAGTACCTATAGTATAACCACGGCATAACATATTTCTATAAATCATTCATTTTTTTTGGTGGGAATGAGTAGCAAAACTGTGAATATTTCTGTTAAATACGTACACTGTTTACGCGGCAAATTCGAAATTCAAAATATATAGCTTTCGTCTGTTTGCGCGTATAATTTTAAAACCTTACCTCTGAGATGACTGAGATTCCCAGTCACTTTTAAAACAATTTCCTCGATCTTCTCCAGGCAATCTTGTATCATAATGTCCAGTAAAATTTAATATACATTCAAAATACTTCTCGATTTATACTTTGCAAAGGAACAAACAACAACGTGCGTCGTGCGAACTGCGAAGCGACGCTATCCCGGCATGCATCGAGACTCGAGAGCGTGGTGCAATCCTATCAACATTTCTCTGCGCGAGTTACGGCGTTACGGGATTTATTCAGAATGTTGAAATAAAACCGTCAAAACCGTCGCGTTTGCATCAAAACCGTCATCTCTTCTGAATATGAAAAGAAAGATATAAACAAAGAACAAATCTTTTTTCCAAGACTTTGGAATTAGCTTTGCTTATTTTAAGAAAACAATTGCTTTTTGCTCCTGACTTGGGACTCTTTGCCCAGTTATTTAGGAATATAAAAAATGATAATCCATTTGCAATTTTTTTCCGACAAAAGCTTCCAATGCATGCACACCCAAGCTCTCACTCAACACAAAATTATAGCGATAATGTTTACACCAAAGTGGTGCTTTATTACACAAGAACGGTGTTTATTTACCGACTTTTGGCGTAAATTTACGCCAAAGAAGGTAAACTTTAGCTATACACTTAATCGGTGTTGAGGAAACACAATATTGGTGTAATAATACACCTCGAAGGGTAAATTTGCACTTTGTGGATGTAACATACTGATTTACACCAAAATTGTGTGCATTTACACTTATTTGGTGTTTGTCGGACACTTCGAAATTTAGAGTGAACGCTTTTTTATATTTTGTTTAGATATTAATGAATGTTTATCATCTCCATGCATGAATCTTACTGGTTTCTTGAAGTCATGCAACAACACTCCAGGATCTTACGTCTGTATGTGCGAGAACGGACCCTCTGTGGACGGGAAAGGATGCGAAGGTATGCATTAACACATTAAAACAGTTTGTTAAAGGCAGAAGCTTTTTAATAGCTCAGCGAATCCTTCCTTAACATTCTTCCAAAAAGCAAGTGCAAGACAGTGTATACCATAATATTCAGGCATAGTTAAAGTTGAAACAGTCACCGGCCTACAGCAATAATGCTATAAAAACTGCGAAATGGTATTGACCATTGATCCGACGATGGTTTGCAATTTCTGGAGCATTCCCAATTCGTATGTTTTCAAATCTACATTTAAAAATTGGTTAAAGTATATGTTTGGCACACGAAACGGTGAATTTACCATGCAATTAAAGAAAGCTCTCGATTGCGCAACATCAGTGCCTGGAATTGTGTGATAAATTTTGTTATTTAACAAGGATGATGCGCTTCAAAGTTAGTCAAATTTAAGCTAAATGAAAATATAGGTTTTAAAAAAACTATTAGTCTACGCCAGTTTATAACAAGTAGCACGGGAGCGTTAATGCGTGTATAAGCGCCAATCAGAATCAAATGTCTAATTCAATTCCCAGCGCTAGCGATGAAAGAATGCGGTTCTTGACTGGTTCTTTTAAGACACAATTATTTGGTTTTTACTAGCCATTGCAGCCTAAAACGATATTGTTCTAGAAAGTTAAATAATTTCTCTTTAAATCGTTGGACTCAATACTTAATAAATTATTATCAAAATTAGTTGTAAACTTCTGACTCTTAGAAACAGCGCAATGCTGCAATTCCCAGGCAAATAAATAATTTTCGTTTGCTTTGCAAAATGTATTGCATAACCGTTAAGGTAATACCTCAGGAAATAAAGAGGCGAAATGAGTACGCTTTTTCACAATAGTCAGGTATTCGCTGGAGTAGAAAACAATAATTCTGATTTAACAATGGTTACTTAAATCTGAACCTGTATAAATCAGTTTTCACACAAGCTCTCGCTAGTAATCATACTGATTTCGTCTGCTTTTTGTCATTTCATCTTGATCCAAAAAGCATAGTCATTACAAGATTCTTAAAAATCGTATTTTGATTGACTAGTAGCCAATTCCCTAAATGGCAACTATAAAACATATTATTAACCATTTTTAAAAGACGAAACGCAATATATTACAATAAAGACGTAAGATAAGTTCTTTCATCAGAGAAAACATTGATTTATAGTATAGGTAGTGGATAAAATTATTACTTCAAAATGATTGTGAACCCGTGATATTATTAAAACTGTCTTAGGACTAGGTTGAGACCTACGATGAACTTGTTTTTCGTTTTGACGATTTTTTTGCCAAAAAATCGTTATTTAATCCGTTGTGCATTCTAGCTCCGGTGCTATTTCAATTACCTTTTTAAAGACAAACTAGACTGGGATTATCGAAAGACAGCGGAAATGGCTTCAATTTGAAATAACTATACAGATAAATATTAGAATAAGACGCATTAAAGCGTCCTTCATAAAACACAACCACATTCATTTTGTATCAGATTTAAATTTGCATGGCACGCATGGCGTGGAATTACACGGTTTTTGTGGTTGCTTCAAGCAACTTTACAGCGCCGAATAATCATAATTTGGAAGTATTAGAGATGCGTGTTGATGAGTAAAGTTGCTAATGAAACCTTAATTTCGGATAAATATTAGTGACGTGTAGTGTTGGTCTCGTTGAGATACAGCTTTGTGTTGGATTGAGGGTTAAAATAAGTTTCTAGTAATGGGCGAAGAACAGGGTTATTTCCATTAGAAACGTTGTTGATAAAAATAGATGTAACTTCGGTAAAAGATGTTTGAATCCTGACGATATTTCAATAGCTTAATCTATAATTTACTTGAATGCTTCTCGGGTTGTTGGTTTCTCATTTTAAAATTTCCTCTTTTGCAATAATCGGATTCCGGGAGAATCGGTGAATATTTACTGGCAAAACTACCTTGGGCGTTGATGGTGTCGATACGATTGACGGCGAATGTTTCTTACGAGGATTCATTGACGTTGCCAGATATAGATCTCTAGAATAATATAGTTTTCATCACAGGTTATATGTGTAGATTCTAACCACATCATCCATTCGTTCTGAAGAAAATGTTGATACTATATTTACGTGGTTTCATAGAAAGCGTATTGCAAAATTCCATTATAAGTTGCTATATTTCTGCTGGCTATTGGCGTATTCACGCGTTGATATGTCGCCTGCTTTATTAGATTTTCCGCGCGTTTTCGACGGATCGCTAGATCATAAACATTATTATGTCCAATTCGTTATCCTGAAGTACATCTCTTGCGTTTGCAACATTACGAATCTCTAAAAGAATAATAAGTTCGTTGAATATTCAAGACCAAGGTGGCAGACCATAGTGTGAGGTTTCACCCGATGTCTAGCTTTGTTGTGATGAAAAGTATTATGTATCGTTTATATTCAGAATCTACTGGCACCCTAATACATTGCGCCAAAGGAAATTTATTCTAATATAAAAAACATGGAATGTAATGACCCCCAAAATACATGACGAATGCATGTATACAAACATGTAGAAATAAAGTTCACAAATTGCTGCTCGCCCGTGAAAGAAACTATTAAATTTTTTTCGGCGTGCCGAACCTGGAGTATGGACTATATCGATTGCATTGACATTTCTGGGTTGCATTTTGTATGATAGTGGTTCGCAAATTTTTTTAAATATTATGGCTTTTAATCCATTTTATTTTATTCAACTTTTTAAATTCAGCCCTCTCCCAAAAAAATAAATAAAACATGCTAACCGTCCCTGCCACAGGTACTGTCGTGCAATGCGTTAAAGACAAATTTTTATTTTTACCTCCAATTGTAAATTAGGATTTGCTGCCTGGCTCTTTCGTATCAGGCTTGCTCGCTGCGGCAGCAATTGAATATGTCCTCCCTCAATTATTATGCTAGCCAGCTACGCCACTGCTCCTTGACAACAGTGAGCTTACTTAAGATGAACAAAATTTATAACGGACTTGAGCTGGCTAATGTAGTAAGAAATTCTCGATATTTCTATTCTTTTATTTTCGGATTTCAAGATTTCAAAGTGAAAAATTGCCGTTTTAACAGCTATACTCATCCTTTTAGGTAAACGTTAAGGCCGGCGCACACTAGAGCTATGTGCTTAGCAAAAAGTCATTCGGGTACTGTCATGCAATACGTTAAAGACAAATTTTGATTTTTACCCCCAAGGTATAAGATAATTTTAATACATAGTATACTTTTAAGACTAGCTGAATTACTTGTCTTGCTGGAGACGCACAGCGCTGTGTTCAAATGAGATCGAGTAACCATGCAGGGTTTCCACAACTTATTTGCATATGGCTGTCCTCATAGGGGGTGGCAATGACAAAACAGAGAAACAATTTTGAAAATAATGCATAAAATGTTCTTTTAAAACAGATCCCTCCTTCTCTCGCAGTTTCCGCAACGCATTTAAAAAACCCGGCTAACTGGCCTTTCATGCATATTAATAGAAAAATAATATGAATATCTCCATAAGATCTCCATATCTTAACTTTGATACAACTAACCTTAATTAGTATTCATAACTCTGTTACACACATGCCCTTATATGTATTAAGCTTGATTTATTCATTTCACAAGCAAGTTAAAATACTCATGCGACGCACTTGCTATTGTAAATACCCATACACATCAGCCGCTTGTATTTTAACTAGTACTTATAGAAGAAGTATGTTTAACACACGAAAGGGTGAAGTTACCATGCAAGTAAAGAAAGCTATGGATTGTGCTACATCGAGGAAACATGTTCTAAAATGGTTTTATGTCATAAAATGTTGTATTTTGGCAAAGATGATGCGCTTCAAAGTTAACAAAATTTACACTGAATGAAACTTTAGGCTTTAAAAAAAATCTCTGTCAGTCTTTGCAGGTTTATAACAAGCACCACGGGAACACTTTTGGGAATTAAATATTATAGAGTAGTATCCCTTAATCATTAATATGGTCAATCTAAATAATTATATCGTTTTCTTTGCCAAAATCGTCAGGCTGGCTACGCCACTGGTTGGTGTTGACTTTTTACAATATTAGTTAATACATTCTTGATAATTCTGAGAATCTGCGAAGTTTTTCAAAATTAGTTGTAAACTCCTCACTCTTAGAAACATCAGAAACACGTACGTACGGATGATTCTTTATGAATTAAACACTTTTGAAAGGTTTTACGAACAGTTTCGGACAGCAAAGAATTATTTAAGTTTGACTTAGTTCTGTTTCAGCTGATGTATTGGTTTATTTCCCTTCGGTTCAATGCAATACATGATGAACACACACAACCGTACAAATTGAGACATCGTAATCGAAATATTTGTTTCGGATGCCATTGTATCTGGTATCTTAGCTCATTGTATTTCAAACGTCAACTGAATCTCGATTCTCTTGATTGGCATGCAGTGGTAAGACTACGTTTGTTTCTGAATTTAATAATCAAACATTGCCTGAAGTTCTAAAATCGATTGTTTATGATTTGCTTTATTTTATTTCACATCGTTTAACATACATAATGGCCTTGCATCTCGAAACTTTCGAAAATACCATCAACGGAAAATGCAGTTCAATACAACGTTACCACCCTCACGGCATATAATTTTTCGATTGACAATATTTCATCCTCGGTTAAGTTTTGACGCTCCTTTATTGACCAATGGAAAGGGTTAAATATTTTTACCTTGGGTTAACTAATCCTATCGCTAACCCTGCTTTGATCAACACAGTTTTAACCCAGGTTTAACTAACCTGGTCTTAAGGATTTTAACCCAGGTTTAGCACTAACCTAGGGTTAAATTTAACCTGCTTTTCAACAACCAGCCCCTGTTCAAATCATTATGCACCGGCACTAGCTCTCCCTAAGATATAGGACTTAGGTAACGATGAATTTTCTTTCGTATTAACGATTATTAACAAAATTATCATTGTTTATCCTTACGGATATTGCTGCGGATGCGGGGAAAATGATTTGCTATTTTAAAGACAACGTAAACTGGGATGATCGAATTCTGACGAAAATTGTTTCAATTGCTCAATGTGATGAACCAGGTTTGATAAATTAAAGACCGCAAAAGAAAGACGGAACTCAAAAGGCCTAAAGAGATAAACGCAGTTAATATTCACACAGAACAAAACCCTCTCTAGAGGTGGATTTGGGAAACAATAATTCATATTTCACTTTTTCAAGTTATTTTCTAATCATTGAGATCACGTAAGAGCCGCCATAACTACGTAAGAAGTAATCTGACTAAACATTTGTTACGTTGAAAGGAAACCCGGCATTTCGTAAATCAATTAGAATTATGTTGCTTATTACTTGAAAAACACATATTTATAACCGACGAAACTAGCTGCACCTACCATGAGACTTCCTTGACGGTTCATCGTGTTAGTGGTTTGTCAATATTTAGGCTGTTTATTAATATCATTTCTGGCTTTTACGATGTTAATGACGTGAGAATGCCGAAACTATCCTTAGCCACATTCACTGCTAAGATAAGCGATGATTTTACATAAGTTAGATATAACGTGTATTTTTTTACTTCCTTACAAGTTGCCTCGTAATAGCAACTTTATGTGACGTAGTGTGAAGTTCTTAAAATTAAATATTTCATGCTTGTTAAATTAAGCCGACACATGAACTGTTTCCATTTATAGCCAACGTTGAACTGAAAATCAGATTGAATGGTTCGAGTAACAATATGAGTGGAAGAGTCGAAATCTATCATCCAAAGTTTGGTTGGGGCACAGTCTGTGATGATCTCTGGGATATGAAGGATGGTCATGTCATCTGTCGTCAGTTGGGTTTTGTTGGAGCGAACAAAACCAGAGACAAGGCTTACTATGGCGAAGGAAGTGGTCATATTTTGCTTGATGATGTTCTCTGTTCTGGTCAGGAATCATTCATCTGGAATTGTTATCACTCGGGATGGAAGCAACATAACTGCGACCATTCTGAAGATGCAGGTGTGGAATGTTTCTGAGATCTCGACCATCCAAAAACTAGGACACTGGGTTTATTACATTAGTAGATGATAAAAAAACTTTCTAATTTTCATTTAATCTAAATAACAGATGCAGCCGTAATGCCAAGAGTATATTGCACAAGCAAAAATTTCCTAATTACACTTCCATTGCTACCTGGGATTACTGTAAATTTCTAAAAACGAAATATAAATAAAATTGTTGCTACAGTCCTGGATATTTCATTTGAATCCACTTCAGCATTCGAAATTGATTACAGCGTGACTTCGCGATATTACAGTAAACACAATCATTGTTGACGTATGAAGTTATTTAAAAAAGTCTATCAGCTCATAATTATATGCATATTTTGTTCTATTACTAAGCCGTACAGGTTTTCACATGCCTCTGGGAGTACCGGCAAAATTTTGTTCCGTTTTTACACTATAATATCATGATCAGCTCGGGTTCTATTGTTGGAGATGCACACATATGAATTTTTAAAAATACATAAAACCAATTATACGCTACGTCACCCTCGCTGATCATGATATTACAACGAATTACACAAACCTCCTCAGGCTCGGGAGGTTTGTGTAATTCCCTTGGGCTGCGTCCTCGGGAATTACACAAACCTCCCTCGCCTTCGGGGCATTTAATCACTAATTTCCCTCATGTCATGCTATTACTTATAATAATCCCCGAGCCGGTGCGGAGCACCGTGCGAGGGTACTAATTCCGCTCGGATATTTACAAATACACGATTTGCAAATGCGAAATCAAAGTTGTCCGCCATTATGCAATGGACCTCACGCCATGGACGGTCTTCTACGTTATGCGCATGCGCCAGTGTGAACCACTAAGCTCTTGATTGGTCGAGACAAAAATTTGTATTTTAAAACGTCAATAAATAACTGTCATTTCGCAAAATTTTGATGAAATTTATAAATTTTATGTTTTCATGAAATAAAGAATATATGTACAGTAGGGGGCAAAAGTTTGAGTCCAGTCGTTGTTGAATTCCAGTATTAAATCCTGGTAGCGTATTCGAGTTAAGACATACGTGCTAGTGTTTCAGTACTGTTGAACATATTAATTGCACATTGTTTTGGTCCTAATGATCTAAATTAAAACAAAATAAAGTTCTTTTTCCTTTACACTGCCCAAGATGGGTGGGAAAAGTCAAGGTACACAAGGACAAATAGTTGCCTTAAGTATTGAAGGATTCTTTCCTCGTAAGATCGCAGAAAAAGTGAGAATTTCAAATGATGGTATGCCACTAATCTGGGAGAGGTTCAAAGAAACTAAATCCTACTCAAGCAAACTTTTAGCTGCTTCGGTCATGCTGGGTTTGGCAACATTGAAAGATATATAGGATCCTAATTAAAGAAAATTATCAATTAAATCTTCAAGGACATGGAATTTCATCTGGTACAAAGATGATCGCGCTTCTAACTCAGTGATCTAACTACATGATAATCACCCTAAGCACATGCACATCTTCTATGTGCCAGAAATCTTATAGAAGGAAACTCGTTCTGGTGAACTTGTTCTCATGGCTTTCCACCTCAAATTCCAGATCTAAAACTTATGGTGCACTTGTAGGACCGTCGTAACCGGAAAAGGGCGAGGCACAGACCCACCAGCCAGGATGACTTGAGGCAAGTTGTCAACGAATGCTGGCAAGGTATTGAATGTGCGACACTAAAAAACCTATGGAATCTATGCCAGCAAGAATAAAGGCCGTTTCAAGAGCAAAAAAAGGGGGATACTAAGCATTGACATGTAATGCATGTTTGCACATTAACATACGTTAAATGAATATTATAACATTTCATAGTTGTTGTTTCAGCATGTATTTTTCATTTTACTTTTTACTTTTTTCTAGTTCACTTATCGGTAAGGTTTTCTATAGAATATTAATATATGCTGCTAAAACAATCAAATACAGTCACTGGACTCAAACTTTTGCCTCCTACTGTATTTTATTAAATTAGAGGGAAACTCGAATGTGGTCAGGACTTTTCACGGTTTAACAAATAACAAGACCAAATTTTTGACCGAATTCACCGAGTATAATAAAGTCGGAAGATTTTACACTTGATAATATTTAAATATATTATGAAAATCCACAGCTTTAAAAAATAATTTTTTTGTGGTAAACACAACTTTAATATTCTCAAATGGATTTCACTATAAATCTGAATGTGTTATGTGATAAACGACATTATAATTTCATTTATAAACTCTGTTTTCATAATGACAAAAAGAAAAGAAAATCAAAACATTCCCTTGCAAAAACCAATCGAGGTGTAACATAAAACTTCGGAAGTTGTATGAGACGTCTGATGTTATATTTCATGGTAATTAATAATTGAAATAATTTACCATAACACGTACTATAGATGAGTAACTTAACTTCCAGAAAAAGGTTAGAATCTTGTCGTATTTTTGCCATTTTTTCACAAAAATATGAGGGTAAACTGATTCTTTAAAAATATACGGCCGTTGCGAGTTGCTATGACTACAGTGCTTCCACGTGCAGAAAAATATTTCCACACTTTTCTCAAATTCTTTTTCTCACATACATAAATTTTCTAACAATCATGTTACCATCGCTATGCTTAACTAATCTTGTTAATCCTAGGCGAGGGGTTTCTGCATGCATGTATTTCTAGTTATTAATATAAATGGCTGACTATTGAAAAAACCAGCGCATGCATGGAGACATTTAAACGAATACTCTCGGCCTAACCTTGTTTTTCGTCGCCATATCCTACACTTGGTCATATAATTGTCACTGAACGAAACAGACAAAGATTCCTTCTAGCAAGCAAATCTCTTAACTAATAATACATCAATTTTACGGGCGAAAAATATTGTGGCCCAACAGCAGTTGACGACTCATATAACCGGCCATTAATAGCAGCTGGTGCCATCTTTAAAATTTTATTTTTTTTTTATCTAAGTCGCGAACTAACCATTAAATAAAGGTCGTCAGGTCTGACAGTAAAACAGCGGCGAAATTTTGTCAGGTTTTATTGACAGCGGCTTTATATTTCCACGAGTGCAATAACTTGGCATATCGGTTGCATAGACGTTATTCATAATAATGCATGAAATAAGATGAAGTACGACTTAAATTCCAAAGCTTGTGTACTTGATGTAGTGCAGTCTCAATTCTTCTTTGTTGCATCACAGTAGAGAGGCGAAGATAGGGTCACTCGGCATCAAAAAGTGTCCACTTTGTTTGCTGGCCGGCAACAGAATTAACATAAATATTTTCAGGCAGCAAACGACTGTCATTCAACTGTAAAATTGCATGTCAGAGGCCGCGCAAAGATGCCCGGAATGTTGCCTGAAAAATTGACACAGTTGATTTCCCTGAGTGTCCCTACTCTCCCCTGTATTGTGATTGCTTGTTGCGTTAGAGTTTGTAGGAGTTTTAAACTCGATAGTATTTTGCAGTGATTTTTCGCAACAATATTGTTCGTATTTATTCATCTTATAGAGTTCATTTTATCGGCATTTAACGCCGTATTTAAGCTTCTTTGTTGTATGTTGCGAATAGTGTTTTAAAGGGGTTTAACTGGTTGTATACAATAGTACTTTTAGTGATATTTCGCAACATCGCATTATGTTATATTATATTATTGTAAACACTAGAACAGGATTTGCATGCGCACTGCCAACGGCAGTTGTAATTGAGTTTCAACCCAGTAAATATAGATTGCATACGATCCTTTTTTTGTTTTGTTTTATTTCTGATGGATATATTAGCGCCAGATCACATGCAGTATAGACCTCATATAATCACCTGGGCGACTAATTATTTAAAAGAAATAAAATGAAGGATAGAAGACCACCTTAAACCTTCAAACTAACAAGGCGAACTTCAACGCTGCTTAATGAATCTCGTTTTATTTATCATTTTTCCACACCACAATGCACTTAGCCGTTGTTAACTTTTCACAATACAATAATACTAATCCATTCTTGATAATTCTGTACATCTGCGAAGTTTTGCAAAATTATAGTTGTAAATTCTGGTCCTTTTGGACCTTTTGTGCGCGCATAGATTGAAAACCGTCTCTGAGTTTAATTGGACTTATATTTATCCGTGATTAGGCGTGATTGAGTTATTGTTTTTTGAAACAGGGAAATGGGCATTTACCTGTGACTTTGTAACGCTATATCTTTGTGAGAATTTAACATATGGACACAGAAATACCACCATTCGAATCCTTGTATAAAAATGCATCGATCGCGCATAATAAACAAACTACGTTTATGGGCATATTCAAAAATGTATCGACTTCGGGACACAATCGAAATTCTCCGGCAAGATTTACGTTCGATGAAATAAATAAAATTTCAAATGTTCTTTACTCACTTCATTTCTTAATGAAATCAACCTTTAGCTTGTACTAAATGCAGTCGTGGAAAAGGACATTTTACGTTTATTAAACACACTTAATCGCCATTGCAAAACGATAAAAAGATGAACTTAGTATTAGGAAACTCTGCGCCGTCGCAGTGAACGAGCAATAATCCCACAATCATCACATTGAGCAATAGCATGTATACTAAGACATCCGCTGTAGGCGTTGTTTGGTCTCCATGTTTATCGTGAACTTTACACGGGCGCCCTAGATTTTGTCTTCTCGCGCTTCTTAAAAAGCTGTGGTTGAATTCTTTAATAAACAAATTAATAACCAAAATTACAATAAACAATCAAATTAATTACCATTTTCATTAAATTTTAATTTGCATGCGACCCGATAAAATAGATTTGACTTCGTTTAAAATGCAAAAAAAATCGCGCCTTATCTATTAGCTTCGCTCAGACCATATATAACACAACAATAGCATGTGCTTTTTTGGTGTCATAAAGACTTAGTTCAATACCTCAAAGTCCTCTTCCATTTCGTTGGATCTCGGGTAACCGGCGCTTAATTTTTCATTTTGACCAGTAAGTGTGGAAATAACAAATCACCTGAGTTGAGTAGAATCCTCTGATAAAGCTCTTCAAGAAGCCGATTGTCACTTGCTCATCGTTGTTTGTTGGCTTGTCCTTCAGAAGTTGCAAGATCTTTCTCGTTGAGGGTTCCAGTTTTAACTTTAACTCGTATGTGTGTTTCGGTTTCTCGATTATTTCCTTATGCGCTAATTTGATGAAAATGTCCCTGACATTG